ACATCACTTTGATCAAGATCTTCTGTACAGTCAAGTCCATGCGAAATGTTCCGAACCTGTTTATTTCCAGTCTGGCTTTGGGAGACCTGCTCCTCCTGGTAACATGCGCGCCTGTGGATGCCAGCAGGTATCTGGCCAACAGATGGCTGTTTGGCAGGATTGGCTGCAAACTGATCCCCTTTATACAGCTTACCTCTGTGGGGGTGTCTGTCTTCACACTCACGGCGCTCTCAGCGGACAGGTAAGTGCTGGCTGAGAGTTACATGCTCTCTGGAGGTGGCAGATGCCTCGGTAAATGAGCTCCCATGTCAGGACAGGGACAGATGGAGCTGTTTGCACAAGGGGAACTTTTACTCAAACTCAGATTCCCTTCGAGGCATGTTTTCGTTCTGGGGATTACTTCTTGAGTTTGACAGGTTGGTGTAAGAAGGAAAAGTGAGTGAACGGTGGGGACAGTGGGAAACAAACGAGACCAAAAATTCTCTAAGCCTAAGAGTGAGTGAGGTGTGTTTTTTGGAGACGATCTATTTAACGCTGCCTTTCCTAACTTCTCTCTGCCTGAAAAATTAATTGACCAGTGAGAAAGACTATCACACCCAATAGAGTTTAAACCTTAGATAAATGCTTTTTTTTTTAAGGAGCAAACTGTCAGAGAACAGAACAGTCCCAATGAATTTCTTCTTCAAAATATTCTTTCAGAAGTAACCAAGAGGAGAAAATAAGCCCCATTACTCTGAAATTTATTTTCCTCAGTCAGTTTAACTTTTTTCACAGCTGATTTTGTATTTGACTCTCTGTGACTGAACATTTGTGTGCTGGTTTTTCTAAGTCTTTTTAAAAGGAAATCAAGCATTGTTTACATTTTTTTTTTCCCCTGGAGAAAGCTCCATTCATGGTTCTAATTTTAATATCTTTATGGATGTGCTTCTGTATGCCATGCCTTTGGGGCATTTGAGGGGGGAAAGATGGAGTTCAGCACAGTGAGTTATTTGGGGAAATACACACATTGGTGAACTGCCTCAATATACAGAATATACATATTCTGTGAGCACGATGCATAAAAGTTTACAATTACTCATTCTTAAAAATGTGTCTTCATTCTTTGAACACTTATCAAGCATCTGTCATGTAAAAATCACTTGCTTGACTTAACAAGTCAGGAACTATCTGCCCATTGTTCATACAAATTATTGAATATATCTTAAGTTCCTCTGTGCTCTGGAAATCGGCCCCCCATAATGAATAGACTTTCAGACACAGCACAGACCACATGGCCAAATTAAGAAAAATCGGTGCAATGAACCAGAGACTATACATTTTTATCTTAAAAGTAACTGTATGTCATGTGCTAAAGATATCTAAGGATGTGAGAGTGTTCCGGGAAAGACAGAGAGGCAGCTCTTGCAAGTTTGTACTCCGGAGAAAATGCCCACATTTTAACACATGTGGTGCTGGAGTCTCATTTTCTGAGGAACAAACAGTCCTCAGGTGATCTGGCTTTGTTGAGTTATGGACAAATAAAGATAGTGCTATCAGTATTTGTGGACACGTGTTTATGTTGCCCAAAGTACACTCCTCAGCACATGCGACGTTTTCAAAGATGGGAAAGTAATAGCCCAGAAACAAGGCTTACACACTGCGCCAACCAGACGGGGATTCTCCAGCCCCTCCACAAACCTTCAGCACGCTCCCACCCTGCGCCTTTGCCCCCCACATACTATCTGACCACAGACAGTTGCAGGTGTTGATTCAGGGCTGGCCAACTTTGGAGCTGGCAGAAGGTTTATGGCTCGTCACCAATGGCCCAGGGCACTTCAGGATGAGGGTAATTTTCTTGATGGGAAGGAGAGGTTTTGGTTTCCGGATTGCGGAGTGCAGTGGTACAGATGGTGTTTACTGTCTTCTTGGGGAGGGAAAGCGAAAGGAAAGTGAGGGCCCAGAATGTAGAGGGGCAGCTGCAGGGAACTCTTCTCCCGAGTTTCAAAGGCAGACCAAGTTCACCAGCAGCAGAAAGGGAAAAGTCTTTTAAAAGCCCAACTGCTTGTCCTCTCCAAGTTCAGAAATTACTAGGCGATCCCCAATAACTTTTGTGATTTGCTAAGACTTAAAACAAGCATGGATCACCTGAATCATAGGTAGTGCAGCTAACCAATTTTCAACAGGAAGAATAGGTATTGAGCTAGTTAAATAATATAAGACTGTATTTTCCTATTCATCTCATTTTTGAAAGCTGTGGGATTCTTATAACAGCTTCACGAGGTTGCCAGAGCAAATATATATTCAGTGCTTTTTCTTCTTTACAAGGTATGACCCATAAACACAGTAAACTCAATACGTTGTGGCTCAATATGTTTTTGTACATGTTTATGTAACTGCACGACCACTATCTAGATGAAAACATGGGACAGCTCCAGCATTCCCCAGAGTTTCCCTTATAACCTTTCCTAGTTAATATCCCCCATACAGAGGCAATCACCATTCTGATTTCATTCACCATAGATTATTTCTGCCCAGTTCTTTAAATCTCATATAAATGGAATCAGGTAGTAAGTACTCCTTGGTGTCTGGCATCTTATGCTTATCATTATTTCTGGGATAGCCGTCCACACTGGTGCACAGAACAGTGGTTTATTCTTTTTAATTGTGTGTAGCGTTCTCTTGCCCAGTGGATTTATCCAGTCTAATACTGATGGACATTACGTTGTTTCCAGTGTGGGATTGCTAATAACATTCTCATGTATGTCTTTTGGGGAACATAAGTGTTTATTTCTCCTGAGTATGTGTCTAGGAATGAAATTGCTGGGTCACAGGGGGCCTATATTTAATAAATATTGTCCAACCGTTTTCCAAGGTGGTAGTCTGTGTTAGATAGATTGGTAAAAGGGTGAACCAGAAGAGAACTGGATGATCGTCAGAATTACAGGGGAGCTTTAAAAACATTCAAAGTCCTACGCCCTTTCCTAAATCTACTGAGTCAGAGCTTCTGAGGTATGAGTGGGACACGTAGTAATAACAATCCATCCCTGCCTCCTGTAGGCTGGCCATCGTCATCCCAACCTCCCTTCTGTAGGCTTCCCCTTCCCCACGTGAACTTGAGTCTTTGTCACTATGAAAAGAATAACAATTTTCTAGAAAAGGTTATACTGGTATCACCATGTCAAAGGGAGACTTTAAAGTGGTCCCAGAAACCAGAATTCTGGGGATTCACACGACTGACCAGCTGTGGGTTTGCATTCAAGCAAGTTCCTGTCTTCCCTCTCCTGCACGTTTTCTGCCCTTACACACAAACTGATGTCCTCATACACGGTGGTGGCACTGGGCCGTGGGTGGCTCTGCTTCCTTGCTTATGCTGTGCTCCACCCACTCTCCAGAATGCTTTCTCTTTTCCAAAATATAAGACTGTACTCATCCTGTGTGGTGCAGAGGCTTGGAATGGGCATTCATAAACCTGCAATTTAGGCATTTTCCTGCCATTAATATTCATGTGAGGAAGTTGGACCACGTCACTTAACTCTCGGACCTTAGTTTAACAATGTATAGAATGATGGAACAGAGTTAAGTAATTTCTATGATCTGTCCAAGTTGTAAAATCTTCAGATTTTTTTTTTTTTGAGACACCTGGGTAGAGCACTGTGACATCACAGCTCACAGCAAGCTCAAACTCTTGGGCTTAAGTGATTCTCTTGCCTCAGCCTCCCAAGTACCTGGGACTACAGGCACCCGCCACAATACCCCGCTATTTTCTTATTGCAATTTTCATTGTTGTTTAGCTGGCCCGGGCTGGGTTCAAACCCACCAGCCTCGGTGCATATAATCATTGTGCTGTGGGTGCCGAGCCAAATCTTCAGATTCTCTGTCATCTTCCTTGTCATTCAGGATCTGGCTCAAGCCTCCTCCTGAAAGCCCTAAGTTGGACCACTCTAGCCCAAATTTCCTGACCCTCTTGTTGACACCTATTATCTGAGGCATGAATTATCTTTCATTATGCTATTTTGAAGTGTTTCACTTCAAATTTTTTTAAGCCACTCATATTCATTGCTTTAAATTTTTAGGTAGATTATTAAGGATGTTAAGGGCAGAGATTTCCTATACAGTCTTGTATCCTATACCGTGCCCCATGGAGTTCCTTGTGCTAAATGATCAAAAATATTGACTAGTTAAAATTATGTTTCGTTAATGCATACTATTCGCATCATTATTATTAATATTCTGATTTGGGGGGATTCATCTGCAAACATATTCTTAAAAATGTATCATGTATGTCACCTGCTTCTTAACTGTTCCTCTTGGCTAAGCTCTCATTACCTGGTTACATGAAAGAAAAACTATCTTTTGTGAGTTGGTAAACATATTTCAGGGATAAATAGATGGGTGAATGGATGGGCAGATGGCTGGATGGGTGGATGGCTGGATGGGTGGATGGCTGGATGGGTGGATGGCTGAATGGGTAGATGGCTGAATGAGTGGATGGCTGGATGGGTAGATGGCTGGATGGGTGGATGGCTGAATGGGTGGATGGCTGAATGGGTGGATGGCTGAATGAGTGGATGGCTGAATGGCTGAATGGCTGGATGGCTGGATGGCTGAATGGGTGGATGGCTGGATGAGTGGATGGCTGGGTTGGGTGGATGGATGGGTAGATGGGTGGATGAGTGAACAAATAGGTGAACAGATGGGTGAAGAGTTGGATAAATGGGTATATTTTTTACATACTGGTCCTTCCTACGAGATGTTTACCTCTGTGCTAGGTGCCTCAGTTTACGTAAATGAAATTTAAGACTTAAATTGAACACCCAATAGTAAAAGGGTGAGAATAGTTTTCTTTTCCAGCCAGTATAAAATTTAGAACTGAATTTAATGTTGATAACATGTAATAGCCAAGTTATATTATGCCCACGTCAGGGTTATTATTCAGTGTTATTTCTGCTCATATGGAGCTGGCAGAACGGAGCCTAAGGATAGATGGATAGATATGGCAGTTCCATTATAACATGATTTTTTTTAATATAGAACACTTCACGAATTTGTGTATCATCCTTGCACAGGGGCCATGCTAAATCTTCTCTATACCATTCCAATTTGAGTATATGTGCTGCCAACCAAAGCGAGCACTGTAATGTGATTCTTCTTTGATTCTCTGGAAAGGCTGATTGTAAGTTTCCTTGTGATTTGGAATATGGAAAGAAACAGGAAAGTGTTACACATGTATAAACTTCTTCATCTTCTATGTTTTGTTTTGGAGACAGAGTCTCACTTTGTCACCCTGGGTAGAGCGTCATGGTATCATAGCTCACAGCAACCTCAAACTCTTGGGCTCAAGTGATCCTCTTGCCTCAGCCTCCTGAGATTGGGTCTTGCTCTTGATCACGCTGATATCAAACTCCTGAGTTCAAGTGATCCACCAGCCTTGGCCTCCCAGCATGCTAGTATTACTGGTATGAGCTACCACATCTGGCCAAAAAGTATAGATTCTTGGAATTTGTTGCAAGGAATTCGTGAGATATTGTGGTTTTCAGTCTTTCCACACAACTAGAGCTTTGTGGTCCAACATGGTAGCCAATAACCACATGTGGCTATTTACATTTACATTTAAATAAAATCAAAAATTCATTTCCTTGGTCAGACCTGACACATGCTAAGGGCTCAGTAGCCATATGTGGCTAGTGGTTACTTTACTGGACAGCACAGATACAGAACATTCCCATCACTGCAGAATTCTATTGGACAGTGCAAAAAAGGGTTTGCTCTATATCTTGGGTTCCAAATCTCTTTCCCAGGATACGTGTCTGCTTGTGTCTCTCATAGAAGGTATCAGAAATTCCCCAGATAAGCAAATATCAAATGCTTCCCAGCAGCACAGCCTCTTCCTATCTGTCAAGTATCTTTTATTGGAAGACACAAATGAAGAGGGAGAAATTAGGCAGCCCAATATAATCTGCAGTCACAGATTTGGGGGATTTAGGCATGCCCTTGATGAGGTTTTGAGATGTCCTGAAGAGTATGTGAGGGGCCAACTTTTCAGTTCTGCATTATGAACTACTACTGTCTGATCCTTCCATTCTTTTGGGGGGGCTCTTCTGTCTGCCCGTATATTTATATACTCCTATCCCAAGACTTGCCAAACCCCTTCTCATTGCCTCCCACACGTTCCACCAGACTTCTCCCCTTTCTGATCTCATTTCCCCTTCTCTGAGAGTTGGTCCCTATTTTCTCCATCTACCCCAATCCTATCCATCCTCCGAAACATAGTTCAAGTTCCTTTCTTTCCTGTGAAGTGTTCCATGATCTTTCGCTCATTTTCCTTTTCCAAAATGTTTTTCCTGTGTTGTTCATTACATGCGGAATCTCGCCTGCCTTGAACTACTAGGTCCTTTTTGCACATGTGTTTTCTGCCTGCCTAATTATATGGGAAGCTCCACAGCATGTGTCTTCTACAGTACCGAGGCCCACCCTGCATCCAGTAAGAGGACAAGAACTATGGGTTGTGAAAAAAATGATAAAATCCAGCAGCTAGAGTCATCTTAAAGTTCCAACCCTTCTTCGACACAGAGACCAAAAGAGGTGAAGGGATTTAAGTTTGTCACAACAAATTCAAAGTGGAGTCAGACTTCTCTAATCATTCCAAGTCTTAGTTTCTTTGGGGAAACTGGAAATATTTCTTTCTTTCTTTTTTTTTTTTTTTTTTT